TTTTTGGTTGGTTGTGTTTTCTGATATTTATTTTTTATTTGTTTTCATTAATTGTTTTTAATTTACAATGCATACAAATAATTATTTAGATTAAAAAAATGATTATTAATAATTTAATAGACTAATTAATATGCTTGAAAAAATATGGGAACATTTTCATTAAATCGTTGATTGCAGAATTAATTTATTGTCATTTTTAAAACAGTTAAATATTCTCCCAAATTGAATTGTTTTTAATAAAGAAAATAAAAATGAAAAAAAGAACAATAAGGAAAATGGCGGGAAATGACAGCTGGGTATAATTTATGAGGTTTTCTTTAATGCTCATGAGCCAGTAATTATATATATGTGTATATATATAGATTTAAAATATGCACTATGGATGAACTAATTATGCATCATGAATGAATTAAATATGTATCATTATATATTTAACTAGAAGTATTATAAATTATTTTTATGTATATGATACTAAAATTATAAGTTAGATAATAATATTATATTTTAAACATAGAGTATTATGAGTTAAATATATGCATATATGATTAAACTATTAATTAGATAATGGTATTATGTTTTACAATTTGTGTAACACCTCGCCTACTATTACTAGAAATCGGAGTAAATTTTTTACGATATATATGAAAAGCACTAATTTAATATTTGAAAACATGAATTAATTGTTTCAAAAATATTTTAACTTTAATCTGCGGGATGCTACTCAACTTAAATCTGATCTCTTTAAAGACTCTAGGCATATATGCATCTAACTAAACTCTTACGGTCCCCCAGATTCTGGGCCGGTAATTCAGGCATAGTATAAAAGTTTTAAAGCAGTAGAAATTTATAGTCGAATTCACAAACATAGATAATTAATGCAAACATGCTCAACCATACTACATGACATATTTTACTCAAAATATCCTTAAGCTTTGACCACCACCACATATCCAGCTCCCGCGCCATTAACGGGACTCTGATACCTGAAAAATAGTTAGTGGGGGGGGGGCGTGAGCATAAAAATCCACGCGCTCCGTCAAAACCGACACTGAATACACAGGTAATATAATAACATATCATGACATCGGCATATATGCAAGTACCTACTAGGCTTGACAGAACGATCTGATGGAAAACATTATACTAACGCATCACGAACTAAACATATCTCTAATATGATAAGCACATCACAACATAAGCATACATCTAATATGATAAAACACATCATAACACATACGTCTAATATGATCGAACATATCACAAAGGCGTATAAATAAGTAAACGATCAGTAATTGTTGCTCAATTTACTGTCTATAACTGCTGCTTAACTGATTGTCTATAACTGATGTTCAACTAACTGTTTATAACTGCTGCTCAACTGACTGACTTTAATTGCTGCTCAACTTACTGTCTATAACTGTTGTTCAACTCGACATGGTCAGTCAACCCCGGCCCGGCCCGTGCCGCCGGGCCTCAATTACATGGACCGAGACTAGCCCGCCTAGAACCAAGGGCCAGTTCGACGAACCGGCCCTTAACCGATGAGTCACGGACCCGTTGGTTCTCAGCAGATTCTTGGCCAGGTCGGCGTTTCATTTTTTTATTTTTATCACTTGACAAAATAAAATAAAATAAAAGGCATATTATAAAAATCGAGCAACAACTCCAAGTATTAACACAAACCCGTTTGTATTTGTTTCTCGCATTGGACACCCCACCAAGACTGTTTGTTTTGGGAAAGCCATCGAGGACGGGGTGAATAATAGAGTGTTATCTTGGGACCAGACAGTGTTGTATTGCATTGATTTGCTGGAGAGGTATCTCTACTTTCCGCAGCTTGTATCGGTGTATGGGTTCTCAAGATGATGCCTTCGACCAACCAAGGTTGTTGAAACCAGAGATACCTATCCGCCAAATCAGTATAATCCGATACCGTATAGTTTGAACATGACACCTTATCATTCACCTCCTCCTCTATGGCTTTCCCAAAACAAACAATCTTGGTGGGGTTCTAGACTGCTAGAAACAAATACAAACAGCTTTGTGTTAATACTTGATCATCTTTACGAAGACTTACTTCATATAAGTTAATTCATCAGTATCACAATCGGGTTCTAAATCTTATCCATCACTCAATTCCTAATGATATCAATTCCACTCTATTATCTCAAGTTGAAGAAGTAGTGGTGGAAGCAACATTGTTCTCTATGAACACCAACAAAGCTCTTGGTGAAGACGATATGACACCTTTTTTTATCAGCACTTTTGGCCTATTATTACAAATGATTTGTGTGATGTTATTTTAAGTTTCTTTGATTCTGGAAGATTTTTGAAAAGTTGAAACCACACTATTATAACCCTAATCAAAGTGTGAATGTTCTTCTTTTTCTGTTAGCCAATTCAGACCCGTCAGTCTCTGTTGTGTCACTTATAAGATAATTGCCAAGATCTTAGCTTCCAGATTAAAGGATTATATGAAATTATGTGTTCATGAAACCCAATCTGCCTTCATTCCTGGAAGACAGTTACTTTATAATGTTGTGATTGCATATGAATGGTTCATTTTCTAAATAGGCACAAAATCTGGTAATAAATGTTTTATGGTTTTGAAGCTGGATATGATGAACGATTATGACAGTGTGGTATGGAATTGTAGAATTAAATTAATGTTGAAAATAGGTTTTCATAGCTCTTTTTGTGAAGTGGATATTTTCTTGTATGTCACCAATTGTCTTTTCTTTTAATGTCAATGGAAAAGTGTATGGTTTCCTAACCCCTTCAAGAGGTATTCGGCAAGGGGATTCCCTTTCTCCTTATTTATTCATCTTGGTATCTGAGGTTCTATCTCGGTTGATTGTTAATGTTGTTAATGTGGGTGACCTCCAAGGTTTAAAAATAACAAGGAAGGTTATGTCCTTTCTCATCTGCTATTTGTAGATTTTCTCATCTGCTATTTGTAGATGATTCTTTGTTGTCTTGTGTTGCTGATGTGCATAATGCTAATGGTTTGCTTAGGATTCTATCAGTCTATCGAAATTTTACTAGGCAACAGGTTAACCTCCACAGTCTTTAGTGCTTTTCAGTAAAATTTATTCTGAAGGTTAAAAAATGTTGTTGGTGAGAGCCTACAAGGGATTTCTGTTTCTAGCTTCTCTAGATACCTTGGGCTTCCTCTGGGGTTAGGAAGATCTAAAAGTTATGTGTTTGACTTTGTTTTGTCTTATTTGAATGAATAGGTTTTTATCTTCAGCTGGGAAAGAGGTTCTTCTTAAAGTTGTCATTAATGCACTCCCCTCTTTGTTATGTCCTGCTTTTGCTTGCCTTTGAGTGCATGTAAGAAGGTTTCTTAGCTCAGTGCAAATTTCTGGTGGTCTAATGGTATGGATTTTTGTTCAGATAAAATAGATTCACTGGGTTGCGTGGAATAAGATCGTTGTGCCCAAGAGTTCAAGAGATCTTGGTTTTAAGGATATAAGGGTTTTCAATAACTCTCTTATTCTGAAATAGATTTGGAGGCTCTTGACAAAACCAAACAATTTGATGACTAGAGTTCTAAAGGAGAATATTTTGTGTTCTTGATGCTAAAAGAAATGGTGCTGCTTATTGGCTATGGAACTCTTGGGCTAGAGTAAGTTCTTTTTATAAGCAGGGGTTTAGAAAGGATGTGAAGGATGGTCTGAGCACTAAGATTCTATCTGAACCTTGGGTGACTGGTTTGAGTACTGATGTCCCTTCTCTAAAGAAAGAGGTTGTGGATTTTCAGCTGAATTAGGTGTGGGATCTTATAATTGAAAATGGTTGAACCTGAAATAGAGGGCTAATTTAATCTTTGTTCACTACTGATTCTGCTAAAGCCATTCTGGAGATGAGAGGCATCAGCCCTGAAGCCATGGATAGATGGGTGTGTTTGGAAGACTCCAAATGTAGATTCTCTGTAGCCTCAGCCTGTTTAGCTGCAATTTTGAAGAAAGTAATGAGCCTTGACTATCCTGGGAGTAACACTTCTCTTCAGAGTGATAAGAAGAATAGAATGCGATACTGAGATTTGAAATTGAAGAACAAACTTACGCACTTTATATGGAAATGATTTACTGACAAACTTCCAGTGAGTTTGAATCTGAAGAAGAGAGGCCCGGAGATTGACTTCATCTGTCATTGCTGCGCGGAGCATAGTGAAACGGTGGGGCACATGTTTTTTGAATGCCAAAGACCCAAAGATGTTTGGAAGTTAGGCCCGGTCTTTTGTGATTTTTCTGCAGCAACAACCAAGGATTTCAGAAGATGGTGGTGGTGGATAGCCGAGATCGAAAATCTCCGATTTCTGAATCCTGAATCTAGCTTTCAACGTATATTCTTTGGTGGCGGCTTTGGAAGTCGCGCAATCTTTGAGTTTTTCAAAAGGTCTGGATGCCGGGGAATGTTATTGTTCATTCTCCTATAAAGAAAATGGTATGAATTCCAAGTGCTTTGTTTTTAGTTTGTTGTTTAGAGGCTGAGTTCTTATGTTCAACAGTTTCTTTGTTTGTTTAGTTTGTTTATGTTGGTTTAGTTGTTTCGAGTATGTTTTGGTTGGGGTACTAAAGGTCCTAATCTTTGTATTTGCATTTAGTAGCTTGGATTTGTAAGAGCTAGTGAGCTCTCCATTTGTACTTTTGTTTTGTGTTCAATGAAATTTCTTATCGTTTGAAAAAAAAATAAATAAACAAAATCATTGAAAAAGAAGAGGATATACATTGAATTAATTTGATGTGATAAAAAAAATATTAATCCGAGATAAGATAGGTGAAGTAAAACAACGATGATGCAGTATGACACATGTCACCGCATACACGCCTGAGTTGCTTACTCACGTCATTCTCTTCCCAACACGTGGCCCCATTGAATCTCCAACCCAAACATCCTCTCCTATAAATGAAAAACTTGATCCAATCAAGAAAATAACCCAACAGCGACTAAATCAGATCATAGATATACATAAAAGGTTAGCGTGCGTGAAGAGAATGGCCTCCGAGCAACCGAGACGAGAGGATGTGAGCAAGATAGAGGTGGAGAAAGACAGAGTCCCCAAGATGACGACCCATTTCGAGTCTCTTGCCCAAACAGAGGGGCGACAGCAGGGCCTCTCCTTGGAAGAGATCTCCAAGTTGAGAGGCACGGCTCAGCAAAGCTCAGTTGAAGCCATCCGGGCTGCTGAGGACCGCTACGAAAAGGCCAATCAACAAATGGGGACAGAATCCAAAGGGCTGAAGGACCAGGCGCTGGAGAAGGTGGCGGAGGCCACAAAGGTGGTGTCAAATGTGGCAGGGTACACCAAGGATAAGGTGGTCGGAGCCGGGCAGACTGTGGCTGGGTACACCGGGGAGAAGCTGGCGGCGGTTAAGGATGCTGTGGTGGCCGCTGAGGAGAAGGCTGCAGATTATGCCGCTAGGAAGAAGGCCGAGGCTCAGAGGGATTTGGAAGCCAAGAAATCATCGCAGGTTAAACATGTTTGATATAATGTTTTGTGCTGTTTCGTAACATACGAGGCTAACTAAGTTTCGAATAATATATAGCCTGCACCCATGTGTGTAAATGCGTAATTTTTGGCAGGAGCAAGAAAGTGGATCTTTGGTGGGCAAGGAGCAGCATGAGGAAAAGAAGAGCGAGGCATTGGATAGAGAGGAGATAGGAGGAGAAGAGGGAAGTCCTCTGTTCGGAGGAGGTGCCGAAAAGCAAGGTCGTGGTGAAAGAGGAGGTGAACAGAAGGCGAGCCAAGGTCGCACAGGCACAGGCAGTGGTAGTGTACTCCAAGCGATTGGGGAGACTATAGTTGAAATTGGGCAGACCACAAAAGATCTTCTTTTGGGCCAAGATAAGGACAAGGCCAAAAGGCATGAGGAGCCGTACACGGGATCCGGCGGAGGCATTTAGATGTTAATGATGATGATGATGATGATGATGATGATGATGATGGTAGTATGCTTCTTAAGGTTGCGTTGCATTATATATAGGCTGTATGAGTTGGTCTTTTGAGGTGTAAAAAAATGTGTTGTGTTGACCCAGCATCTAGTTGGTATTGTAACGGATGTTTGTGTGATCGATGTGTGTGAGTAGAATCTCTTTATGAGTTTGAGCACCTTTGCGTGTGTGCCTATATCTGTATATATTCCGGTTGTTTTGAAAATTTCAGGTACTTTTTAATCCAAGTAATGAATACCCATATTCAGGTCATTAGTTATTAATAGTAACGTTGAACTCCTCGCTCTAGTTTTCTCCATTCTCATCTATTTTGGGGGTTTTGATCCGATTTCATTGCATTAGAGGTTTATCACACACATTCCCTCTTTCTCTCTTTCCGTTTAGCTTATCTCCCATAGATTTCTTATTTCTTTTCTCTTTCCATGTAGCTCGTCTCCCATAGATTTCTTTCCCTGTGGTTGGCCTTGTTCCATTGTGGAGGCCCTCCTTTGGTTTATTCAAGCCACAGGATAAACTTCTTTCAATGTGGATGAGGTCGAGTGGTCTCAGTTGGAGATGGGATTACCCGTGTAACTTGATTGAACGAGATTCAAGCTGGTGAATTGGCCGGTTGGATCTACACTTTGATCAGGATTAAGCTACTTTGGGTCGGTAGTAAGTCAAAAATCCTAAATTCATGGTCAATTACACCTTCCCTCTCCCTTACTACTTCTGACTTCTCTGCGCTGCGCTCACTTTGTTCGTTGTTGACTTCTCGACAGATGAGAATAATTGTATGGGCGACCAATTCATGCGCATTTAGCAAGCGCTGAAAGTCTTCCAGAGAAGGAGCCTGCGCCTCGGCCCTCTCATGCCTTTCACCATGTACAATTTCTAAGAGTTTGATAAAATGGTTGAGATATATATAAAAAAAAATAAATAAAATAAAATAAAAACCAAATAATCTTCAATCTTTTTATTCTAACTTAAATTGAACTTAACCCCACTATCCTCAATATTATTAATATAATTAACTAAAGGAGCTTGGAGGGAATGACAAGAGTTCATGGGCATGTCGTGCAGGAAAGATGAGGTGTTTGGTTATGTCTGGTTTTTGTTTTTTATTAGTTTTCATGGTTGTTAGGTGAGGTTTGTTTTAGTTTTTTCAATTGGTGGTGTCTCGACTCTAGGTCT